AAAAGAGATATCAATGATGTCCATGTTTTAGGATTTGGAAGGGTGCAGTTGCTTTTAACTAAAACAAAAGAGCTGTAAAGGTGGTTGGGAATAGAAGGAAATAACCTGGGAATATGCTTGGACCTGTTAAGATTTGAGGTGCTCAGCCAAGTTATGGAACCAGAATAGATGTCCATCAACAAATGAATGCATAAAGAAAATGTGGTATATATAAACAAAAGAGTTTTACTCAGTCATAAAGAAGAATGAAATTATGGAATTTGCTCATAAATGGAGGCAACTGGAGAAGATCATGCTAAGTGAAACAAGCCAGTCCCAGAAAGTCAAGTGTTGAACATTTTCTCTCATTTGTGAAAATTAGACCCAAATAAAGAAAAAGAGGGTGGGAGGAATCCCATAAAAATGGAGATCAGTGGAGTAGAGGGGAAGGGATTGAAAGGAAGGTGAGAGGAATGGGAAAAGGGAGGAACAATTGAATGAAACAGACCAAATTATCCTACGTATGTATATGAATATACTACAGTGAATTTTACCTTTAGGTGTATCTATAATGCACTAGTTTTTAAAAACTATAAATAAATAGAAAAAAGATCAGTAGAATAGAGGAAAGGGAACAGGAACCCAGGCAGAGAGGAGGAGAAGAGAAAGGAGAAGTATTGAGGACTGAACTGGAACAAATTATATTCCATGATTGTATAATTACATCAAAATGAACCCCAATATTATGTATAACTATAATTCACTAATAAAAATTTTCTGAAAAAGAAAAAAAAAGAGTTGAGGTGTTCAGAAGCTCATGAGACTTTCAATGTGAGATGGCAGTAGGCAGTCTGGGCACCAGGAGAGAAGTCAAAGAATTTGAAATTCATCAACCTATACATGGTATTTAAAGTGATGAGATTGAATGAGACCCTGTAGAAACAGAACACTCCAATATTTTCAGCTCAACTAAAGAAAACTGAAAAGGAAAGGCCAGAGAAGTAGGAGGAAAGAAAACTGGAATGGTGTCCTGGCCCACAGAAGAGAAAGTGTTTCAAGGAAGAGGGGCATCACCTGTCAAATGTTGCTGATGGGCCAAGAAAAATTAGAACCGTGAAATGACCACTGGATCTGGAAATCTGGAAACCACTGGTGACCTTAAAGAGGGCAGTTTCAGTGCAGTGTTGGGAATGGAAAAAATCTGCCTAAAGCAGGTCCAAGAGATAATTAGGGAGAGAAAACGAAGGTGGCTAGTCTAAACAAAGTTTTGTGGGAAGGGGACAGAGAGATAAGGTGATAGCTGGCATAAGAGAACGAGCAGGTCAAGAGAGTTTATCTAAGGTAGAATAACAGCATGATTGTATGCTGGCAATGATACTGCAGAGAAGATGGAAATCATGCAAAATAGAGGAGGAGAAATACCAGAGCAGCATCCTGGGTTAAAAGGCTTCACACTAGGGTACAGGCACAGGGATTGCCCTTGCTAGAGGCAGAGCAATTTGTCCATTAAGTGGCATGAGAAAAAGTAGTGTGTATGAGCACAGATTCTGGCAAACAAGTAGAAATTTTAGAAAGATCTTGTGAAATCTCTCTTCTTTTCTTTCAGTGTTTCCAAAGCCTTCAGCTGAGACTGAGGAAGGGTAAAGAGGTGAAGTTTTAAGGAGAGAAAAGGTACAAAATATTCTAGGCATTTACAGTGGTGTTACTCAAAGAATAGCCCGCAGACCAGTCCAAGTTCATTATTATCTTCTTATGTAACGATGAGTTCAGAAATTAAGAAACCTTTCTAGCCCCCTGACAAAGTAATTTTAGGACTGTTAAATATAGTAATAAAAACTTGGACTTGTGTGTCTTTCTCTAATTTCATGTTTTGTATTAAAATTAAACTTCTATTTCTCACCCTGCACAAAACTCAACTCAAAGTGTATCAAGACCTGGGTATTAGACCAGAGACCCTAAGCCTACAAGAAGAAAAAGTAGGCCCAAATCTCCAACAGGACTCCTAAAAGTGCAAGAAACAAAATCAAGGATTAATAAATGGGATGGTATCAAACTAACTTTTTCACAACAAAGGGAACAATCAAGAACATGAATAGAGAACATACAGAATGGGAGAAATCTTTGCCACCTGCACCTCCTATAGAGCATTAATCTCCAGGATATATAAATAACTCAAAAAACTTAACACACACACCCCAAACAACAACAACAACAAAAACAAAAAACAACCCAATCAATAAGTGGACAAAAGAACTGAACAGACACTTCACAGAAGAAGAAATATGATTGGTCAATAAATGTATGAAAAAAATGTTCTTCATCTCTAGCAATTAGAGAAATGCAAATTAAAACTACACCAAGATTTCACCTCAGTCAGAATGAGATTTATCAAGACTACAGATAACAATAAACAGTGGCGAGGATGTGTAGAAAAATGTACACTCATACATTGCTGGTAGAACTGCAAATTGGTGCAACCACTATGGAAAGCAGTACTGAGATTCCTCAGAAAATTTGGAATGGAACCACCATTTGACCCTGTTATCCCACTCCTCAGTTTACACCCAAAGGACTTAAATCAGCATACTATGATGATGCAGCCACATCAATGTTTACAGCAGCTCAATTCACAATAGCTAAGCTATGGAACCAACCTAGGTGCCCTTCAACAGATGAATGGATAAAGAAAATGTGGTACATATACACAATGGAATATTATTCAGCTATAAAGAAGAATGAAATTTTCCAGTAAATGGATGGACTGGAGACTATCATGCTAAGTGAAATCAGCCAATCCCAAAAAACCAAAGGCAGGATGTTCTCTCTGATATGCAGATGTTAATTCACAATAAGTGGTGGTGGGGAGAATAAAAGTTCACTGGATTAAGCAAAGGGAAATGAAAAGAAGGGCTGGGGGATGGGAGCAGGAAAGATAGTAGACTGAATCAGACATAACTTTCCTATGTTCATGTATGAATGTACAACCAGTGTAACTCCATATCATGTACAACCACAAAAATGGGAAGTTATGCTCCATATATGTTTGATATGCCAAAATACATTCTACTGTCATGTATAACTAAAAAGAACAAATAAAAAAATTAAAAGAAAAGAAAAGCAAGAAGATCAAAGTATGTATCACCAAAACGTGTGCTGATACTATATGTCATTTATAGAAACAGAGAAACATGGATTACAGTAAGAGAAAGAACACAGTGGGTAATATTAAATGACAAAAGTTGAAAGAAGTTTACTAACTTTAAAATAATAGTTGACTATTGTCATTTATAACTTATGAGATCAAATAAAAAAATAAAATAATAGTTGACCCTGGAGAGAAAGATGGAGCAAAAGATTGCTTGTGTTTTAGTTGAATCTCTAAATTTTTTATTGTTTTAAAAACATACATGTGTGTGTGTGGATATATGTGAAGTCAACATATAAATATATATAAATATAAATAAATATGTAAACATTTGTAAATTGTGTTAGCAAGTGCAGTTTTAATTATTCTGTCACTCTCTATATTTGCATGTTTGAAATGTTTGAGAATTTTCAAAAATATGCAAACTAAAACATAATGATTGGGAACAATGAAGGAATTTTGTATAGTATCTACAAATCAACACCTTTTGATTTATTAATTTGTATCTTTACAGAGAAACGGTATGGTTAAATTATACTGAAAAACAAATAAAACAAATTATTCCAAAGTTTTAAAAATTAAAATAAAAAAGTTTGGGGATGTGGCTCACTGGAAAAGTGCCTTTGGGTTCAATCTCCAGTATTGAAAAAGGCAGAGGTGGGGGAGCATTTTTTAAATGATGAATTGATGGATGGATAGAGAAATTGTTAGATAAATATGTAATAAAACAATGACAGAATTTAAGTGGTAGATATATAAGTGGTCACTGTAAAACTTTTTATATTAAACTGTTGAAAATTATTTCATAATAAATATTGGAAGATTTGTTGCTTTGAATTTTTTTGTGATCATTCATTTTCCATTCCCAGCCAGTTTGTTAGCTCCAGAAGGACAGAAATAATTATATCTGGAAAATTATCTAGTCCATATTTCCTGTTTCACAGATGAGAAAACTGAGTCCTAAAGAAGCTAAGTGACTTCATCACAAGCAGATGACCAATCAGGGTAATATTTGACTCCATACTTAGTTTTTTCCTATTCCACTAGAGGCAACTTACCACTAGAGAATTCATGAAAGGGCATCTGAAAAGACCATAAACCCCCAAAATTCAATATAAAATTTTGAGTATATGTTCAAATGTGCATTATCTTTTCTTTGGTACTAGGGGTTGAACCCAGGGATGCTTTACCACTAAGCTACATTTACTTTGAGACAGGATCTTGCTAAGTTGCCCCAGGCTGGCCTTGGACCTGTGATCCTCCTGTCTCAGTCTCCTAAATAACTGAGATCACAGACATGCTTCACCATGCCTGTATTAGTGTTTTCATTTTTTAATTTCCAAGCAAAACATTTTATTATGCAACATCATTTAGGTTCAGGATATGAGCCATCCTGCCTTTGAGGACAGAGTAAGCATACAGGTTGCCTATGAGGATAGAATAAGGCTTGTGTACCCTGGCCTCGTCCTCTGCTCTACCACTAGTTGGAGGAAAAACAGGCTCTTGACTTCAGATTTTTTTTAATCTATAAATTAAATACCTCCTAAAGCATCCCACAAGTTTTCATTAGTATTAAGTAAATCAATATTTTAAATAATTTACAGAATATGATACATTTAAATATTTGTTCAAGTCAAGGAAAACATATACACTCACACAAATGTATAGTTTGTATAATTTGTGACCAAGGATATTCTAAATGATCAAAATGAGTAATTTGTCAGGTCTTTTCTAACACTGGGGAAAATACTCTGTGTCTCATAGCAAATACAGAGTGACACTTCCATGTACCTGTGCTTGAGTTTAGCATCCCTCTTTTTTCTTATTTCCCAACTTAGTCAGTGACTACCTTGGTGCCCTCCATTTCCTCCTCCTCTTAAATGTGGAACACTTCATGAATTTGCTTGTCACCCTTGCACAAGAACCGTGTTAAACTTCCCTGCATCTTTCCAATTTTAATAATATGTGCTGGTAAAGCAAGCACGACTTTGGTCTTTTAAAGGCCACATTTGTTGAGAAAATACCACAAAAGCATATAAACACTAACTCCCCATGTTTCTCCTGAACCCCCGCCCCCAAATATATACTAAAGCAAGACTGTCTGTAAATCCACTTGGGCTGTCAAAAGAAAAAAGAAGAAAAGAAGAATTATGCAGGAAGTAGAAAAGTCAATGAGACAAATTAGAGGAAATAAAGAATTCTGGTGTGGATTGAACTGACAAGCACAAGAACAAAATGATAAAGACCTTTAATCACATCAGAAAGTATAAAACCATGTAAGTACAAGGACTAGAAAATGTTAATAATAAACTGTCCTATTACATAAGAGACAAAGTGAACTGCCAAGACTTGAGAAAGGTCAGATCTATCACATATTGTGTCTGTATTGAATGTTCATATTGAAACTAATTGGAAGTCTAATGAAGAGTTTGTTTTACTAAAAAAGAACAATCTCATGAAGAGTCAGATATTTTAAAATATGGGGGACTCTTCACCCACGGTGATTGCCACAAGATGATACTTGGGTTAGTCTTCTATAGCATGAAACACAAGCAGCAGATGAGCTGTCCCATTGAAGGTCATCCAACATCAAATAACCACCCACTCAACTAGTGTGTGAGTCCTAGCTGAGACCAAAGAAACCAGATAGCCAAGATCAGCCAAGATCAGCAAAACTGCCCAATTAATGCACAGCTCAGTCCCTCCTTGAAGGATATCTTGTATGGACCTACGATCAAGAGCAAAGTGGGGAGACCACTGAGGAGGCTACTGGAGTATACTGTGCTGATATCCCCTAGCTACTGATCAAGACTAACATCACAAAAGGTGAGACCACAAGCATGATGTGCCTTCTAATGTGCTGTATAGGGAGGACACACCACCAAGGGAATCTTCTTTCCCCCACATAGAACCTCCTTTGATTAACTACCAATTTATAAGAAACACAGGGACAGAAAACATGTTAAACAATAACAGGAGGCGGCAATCATCAAAATGCAGACTGGAAAACCCTACAAGGCTAGGACCCAGATCAGTAGTAAAGCACGAACACATGAGGCCCTGGGTTCAATCCCTAGCACTGAAAAATAAATAAATAAACAAAAAAGGAAAACCCTACAGCACAAATTGCCTGGTTCTTAAACAAATAAAGGACGAAGGACAGTGAGTGGAGGGGGAGGGCTGTGGGATGGGAAGGATGGTAGAATGAGACAGACATTATTACCCTATATATACATGTATGATTATACCACTGAAGTGACTCTGCACCCCGTGTAGGCAGAGGAATGAGAAGTTGTGTTTCATTTGTATACAATGTGTCCAAGTGTGTTCTACTGTCATGTATAACTAAGTAGAACAAATAAGAAAAAAATAGAAGGGAGACCAGTAGAATAGAAAAGGGGATCAGGGAAGGGAAGGGAGAGAAAGGGGAGGTATTGGGGAATCAAATTGATCAAATCATACTGTTTTATTGTGTGCACATATGAATATACAAATCCCACTGTTATGTATAATTATAATGTGTCAATAAAAAGGAAAAAATAAATAATTTTTTCATATTAAATTGTTTAAAAAAGGGGGCTGGGGATGTGGCTCAAGCGGTAGCGCACTCACCTGGCATGCGTGCGGCCCAGATTCGATCCTCAGCACCACATACAGAGATGTTTTGTCCGCCGAAAGCTGAAAAATAAATATTAAAAAATTCTCTCTCTCTCTCTCTCTCTCTCTCTTTAAAAAACTGTTTAAAAAGTAATGAAACATAGAAGATTTAATATAAAAGAGATGACTATGAATGGCATGACCAATATATGCATTCCCTTATTCTAATGCGGAGGTTAGCAAACGATGCTTTTTAAATTTTATCTATTTATTTTTAAAATAATTATCCTTCATTGATGCATTGTAATTATACATAATAGTGAGACTAAGTTATGTGCATGTACAAATATGGCATAAGGAATTCTGACTCTTTTTAAACAAATGTTAATATGTAAAAAAACAGAAGACTTTCTCCGAGGTCTTTATTTTGGAGTTGGGAGGCTACAAAGTTCTTCTGAAAAGTAGTGTCCTGGGAAACACAGAGGGTATTTTCATATACACTAACGTATTCCAGAGAAATCAAAGAGTTATATGTATCTGAACTTTAAACACAATAAAGGAATGCTCTATTAAAATAATGAAAATTGTATTTCCCCAAATGAAAAGAAATGAAAATGGTACATTTATAATACGTACCATTGAATCAACTATGTTAACACCTTGCTTGGATCTATTTGGAATCAAATGTTGAAAAGTAAATAAATAAATAAATGGGGGACCCAAATAGGAAGGGGGTAATCTAAAGATTAAAAGGCAATCTATAGTCAAGTGCAGTGGTGCACGCCTATTATTTGAGCTACTCCAGAGGCAGAAATAAGGAAGATTGCAAGTTCAAGGCCAGCCTGGACAATTTAAAGAGACCCTGTCTCAAAATTCAAATTAAAAGAAAGCAAAACTAAGACTAAGGATGTAGCTCAGTATAGAGCACCCTTGGGTTCAATTTCCAGTACTACAAAAAAAAAAAAAAAGTCTAGAAAACTTAGCTTTAAAAAACACATTTGTGAGACAATCAGGGAAATTCAGATTGTAACTTTATATTTGATAATATTAAGGAATTACTGGGTTTTTAAATATGTAATAATTATATTGCTATTGCCTTTTTCAGTCCTTACAGAAATGCATAGTAAAATATTTATGGATGAAAAGATATACTTGGATATGTTCCAAAATAATTTACTTGGGAGGGAGATGTGGGTGGGAGTATAAACAAAACAAGATTGGACATGAAATGATAATAATTTGAAGCTGATTGATGAGTGTGTGAAGGTTCATTATATTATTCTCACTACCTTTGAGTATGTTTGAATCTTTCTGTTTTAAAAAATGTTTTAAGAGTATTAGAGAATATCATTTATAGTGTGTGAGGGTTCATTATATTATTCTCACTACCTTTGAGTATGTTTGAATTTTTCTGTTTTAAAAAATGTTTTAAGAGTATTAGAGAATATCATTTATACATAATGCATCACAGCAAAGGTGCATGGACACTGCTCTTTTTCACGGTTGACAATTAAATCCTGTCATTGCCAAAAGTCTTCCTCTTTTGCAGGTCTTTGTTCCTCTGAAGAAGACTCTTGGACTAGAGAGTGGCCTGAACCTATTTAAGAATAAAATAAGATTCAGCAATCTCACTTCTAGGTATTTACACAAAAGATTTGAAATCAGTATGTTGAAGAGATATTTGCATTCCCATTATCATTCACTATAACCAAGATGTGGAATCAACTTAAGTGTCTATCAGCTGATGATTAGATAAAGAAAATTTGGTGTGTATAAACACAGTGGAATAGTATTTAACCTTTAAAAGGATAGAAGTCCTATAAATAACATGGATGAAACTCCAGGACAATTGCTAAGTGCACAGAAAAACAAATATTTCATGTTCTCACTTCCATGGGGAATTTAAAACAATCTGTCAAAAGTTCCCCAAACAAGGCTTGGTGCAGTGGCACATGCCTGTAATCCCAGTGGTTCTGGAGGCTGAGGCAGGAGGATCACTAGTTCAAAAGCCAGTCCTAGCAACTTATCGAGGCCCTAAGCAACTCAGTGAGACCCTATCTCTAAATAAAATACAAAAAAAGGGATAGGGATGTGGCTCAGTGGTTGAGTGCCCCTAAGTTCAATCCCCTGTACCAAAAAAAAAAAAAAAATCCCAACACAAAGAAATGATAAATCTTTAATGAGATGGAAATGCTAATTATCCTGGTTTGATTATTATGTGTTATATACATGTGTCCAATTATTGCACTGTACCCCATAAATATGTGCAACTATTAGATGTCAGTAATAAAAAAATTTTCTACCTCCACATTTTATTGATGTATTATAGTTGTACATAATGATGGCATTTTGTTATATATTTATACATATACACAATATAACAACATATTTTAGCCAATATCATTCCTCAACACTCCTCCCTTTCCTCTACTTAATTCCTTTTTTATTTTCATAAGATCCACCTCCACCTTTCTTTTCCTTTTTAATAACTTCCACATATGAGAGAAAACACACAACCCTTGACCTTTTGAGTCTGGCTTATTTTGCTTAACATAATGGTCTCAAATTCCCTCCATTTTCCTGCAAATGACAAAATTTCATTTTTCTTTATAGTATTGTGTACATATACTATGTTTTCTTTATCCTGTTACTGGATATCCAAGCTGGTTCCATAATTGGGCTATTATGAATTGTGCTGCTATACACACCGGTTTGCATGTATCAATATAGCATGATGACTTCGTTTCTTCAGGATAAATACTGAGGGGTAGTACAGCTGGGTCATTGGTGGTTCCATGCCTAGTCCTTTGAGCAACCTCCATATTAATTTCCACAGTGGTTGTACTAATTTACACCACCAATAGGGTAAAAGTGTTGCTTTTTCTCCACATCCTCTCCAGCATTTATTATTGTTTATTCTTGATGGCTGCCATTCTGACTCAAGTTGGTCCTCAGTGTAGTTTTGATTTGCATTTCCCTTATTGCTATAATGTTGAACATTTTTTCATATGTTAATAAGGAAAAATTTTAGTGAGTAAAAAATTTAAAGTGATTGAACTCATGGAAGCAGAGAGGCTGGGACAGGGGAATAGGGAGATAATAATTAAAAGGTACAAAGACTCGATTAGACAAGAGGGAAAGGTGGGATATTTTTTATATTTATTGCACAGCATGGTAAATATAGCAACTAATAATGTATTGCACATTTCAAAATTGCTTAAAGAACAAATTTCAATTTTTCTCACCAAAAAAAAATTATTTGAGGTGATCAACATAATTAGCTTTCTTTAATTATCCTACATTTTATTCATAAATCACATCATATTTACATAAATATTTACAACTAGAAGTGGTCAATTTGCAATAACATTTTTCAGAGAATGAAAG